GATGGTACTTATCTGCCTTTTCGGGAGGCGCCGGGTGTACAGATGTACTTGGAACCCCCTACAGTGTCTAGAGGGACAACCATCAGCTCCGGGAAGGTCGGACTGCACGCGGGTTCTGTGGCGGCTAAGCATATTCCTGCATCCAAGGGCATTCCTTTGCAGGTGGGCGCTTACGCCCGATATATTTCGTGTTTCCGCTTCTTCACGGATCCCTGTTTTTCTTTGAGAGGCTTTTCAGGCTGACAAAAGATTCTTTTATATCGTTCCCCGATTGCCAGCTTATTGCCGTAGTGACGAAATCCACGATTATAATTTTCGTTGGACAGTGATTTCGGTTGGCTATCGTGACTTTCTTTTTCGTGGGCTCCTTAATAAAACTTCCATTCCCGGTTGTTGAATTATGTGCATTGTTTGTCTTCAGGCACCACAATTTGTTGGTTCTTCTGCCTTTCCCGACTCGGCTATCGCTCCTCAGGCTTCCCCAAGTGGATCGTTGCCTCCAACGAGTCAGGACCAGTGGCTGGGGATTCTGCATAGTTTAGTGAGTCTTATGAGATTATGATCATCGGCACTTGAAGGCACGGTCTAGAAATGCATGGCGTTCAAGTGCACTTCAGGTGTTTTCCATGTGGAAATGTATTTGCTGTGACACTTCTGACCACCAGGCTGCTTCAGTCTTCATTTGACAGCAGCCGGTAGTTGATTTTTGTACCATTTTGTATCATATCCCTCATCTAATTGCAGCTTGTAGTCAACGCGGTTTTACTATCAGACGCAGTGTGTGCTTTTTCATCTTTGAGCGCCTGTTTTTAGAGCAGCCAGTTTGTCATCAGATATTTCTTCGTGCGTCGTTTTTCTTTTGCTCTGTCTTTCAAGGCAACGCTCGAGGATGAGGGCCCAGAAAACCACCCATTCTATCGTTTGCCAACGGCTAGCTATTCACAGAATCTTATACCCTTTAGTTTCGAACGGGTCAACATGTATAAACGACGAATTTCGCTTCCCTATGTTCTTACGCCAGTTCAGCAGCTTCTGGCTAAACTGCGGCTCCCTCGAGACGATCTTCAGTCTTTAATATTTCTTTCCGAGAAACTAGTTAAGATTGCATTCAGTATGGACACCTTTCCGAAGGGAACTATCCCCCTCTACGAAGTACAGGAATCGGTCATGCGGCGATTTCTTATAGCGGATGCACTATGGAGCATTTGTGTTGTGGTCGGTTCGTCAATGCAGAAGGAGATGTGGTGGGACCAAGTGATGGATATCTTGGCGTTCTCTCCAAATGTGCAAATATCCAGCGCACGAGGTAAAGACAGCCGTCTTCGGCTTGTCCGTCAGTTCATCGCCGCACTTTGTATATACCGGGAGGGACGGCGTCCTTCGGCTGAGGAGGTAATTGAGCTCAAAAGAGAAGTGCTTTTCTCCCCGGATGCCCCGGCTCTGTTCCGTGCACGAGGGTATGACAAGTTGAGGCAATTTGGAACTGGCAGGTTCCTTGTCGATCCCGCGACACGTCCAAAGCCGCCATCTCAATAGGAGCCCATGCAGAACTCGATTACTGATCGCGTCCATTGCTATTGATGCTGTGAAGTGCACTACGTGCTCCCACGGCAGTCTCCAAGGTGTCCACGTGTTTCTGGCTTCCTTCTGGCAACGTGTCAGTGCTGTCTTTAGTAAACAGTTTACCGGACCCATCAAGTGCCTGTATACGAAAATTACATTCATCTGGAAAGTTCTACTTTAGTATGGGTTTCTCGACAGGGGTCACAGAAAAACTTCCACCGTGCGAGCTTTTAGGCAACCAGTATTACGCAGGAAGTGGATTAGGGACGGGGTATACAATGCAGAGCCGGTATGGCCAGTAAGGTTCCATCAGGTACCTCTGTCTCCTTTTCCGAGACTCCTAGGATAATACGAGGTTCACAACCTACGTCAAGCAGTTTGCATTAATTCAGGCAAAGCCCACCAAGATTTGGTTGAGCTGGTGGAACTGGGTAACGGAGAAAGGCGCAAGTAATCCTCAGGTTCCCAAGTTCTCCTCCAATGCACAGGTTTGACGACGGGACCTGTCTCAGGAAAAATGGAATAAACCTGGCTGGGCGAGGTGAAAAAGAGGAGGGGGCCACGGAATCTGCATTTGAATATGAGCATAATCTGACTGGTGGCTGGAAGGGGCTCTACGATCCCTCAGCAGGCCCGCCGTTGGAGTTTTCTGAACAACAGACGACCTACGCCCCGCAATATTATTCTGGATATCCGCACGTTCACTTGACCAGGAGCGCCAAAGATCCCGTTATTGCATTAGTGAGCATCGGACAAGTCTCCAGATTCCAGCGATATTCTGTGTTTAATCTTTAGCGGTTGAGAAGTGGGGACTTGAGTGCATTCTAGTTTTGTCTTAGACCGCACTTGCAGACAGCGGAACCGAGCCCTTCAAGGACTTTCTCACGGCACGAACTTCAGAGTTCGGCTACTCTTGGCAGTGCAAGCGGCTGTCTATACCCACATGCAGTAAACGGTCGAATGCAATCAGCATGCAAAGCCCTCAAGAGTGTTGTCCACGCTAGACAGTGCCAATCCACTCACAATTATCTCCCTGGGCGAACACATCACCCTCAATACGCAAGGGGCGTCCAGTCCTATGCTAAGGGGCATATCTGTTGTTTTGTGAGTTCCCAGTGACTCGCGCTGCTGAAAAAACGTTTAGTACCTACCTTTAAATGTGCTGTATTTGTGTCGAATCGTATATTTTGGTGCTGCAGCCGAATTACCACGAACTCTAGTTAAGTGCTCCTTTCTCCACCGCCATTGAAATTCTTTAGGTCCCTGATACAACTCATCCTGCACTGGGTTTTGCTTTTTCTCTGGAATCAACCGGTTACAAGCGCTTGCACGATGCGGCTATCCTTTCTCCCGCTTAGTCCCCTAAATCGCTACAGCCCCACCAGTGAGCCCAGAAGTGCTGAAGAAGCCGCACCTGCGGCAATCACCCGTCTCCTAGCCAGTCTTTGACAATATAGCTTGCATTCAAAAGACCGTCTCTGCTGTGGAGTTTCCCTTGTAGTACCTCCGAAAGGGCCAGGCATCACCTTTCCATGTAGTTCAACTTCATCGTTTATTCTCCCTCCAGAGATGTATGGTGCGTGGCGTCACCGAAGATTACCCTTTCTACTGCCTGTCAAAGTTCATGCATGCATACAATAGGTCTCACTGATTTCCAACAGAGGCCCGCATGCTTTCCGGCAGGGTATATCTCGATGCGTGGGTGCCATCGGGGAAGCTCCTGGTTAAGCCAGAGCCCAACTCTACAGAATTTCAGTGGCCCATGTAATGGTATACTTGCTACAGGATACAGTATCTAGCCAATACCTGAATCAAACTCAGATATTAGTAGAGTACCTACTACAACACATGCGATTGGTACTGATAATGATAGGCAATTAACGAAAAGCTTCCTGCCTCAGATACCTGCCGGGAGAGTGACCAGTAATTCATACGACATGTTCATATTTCACAAGTAAAACGGCCGGCTGTCCCATCACAGACGATACATAGACGAGCACTTGGAAGGTGGTTTGCATGCCTAAAAGAGACAAGGGAAGGAGGACAGCATCATTGTCTTCTCAGGCTATGGGTAGCTGAAGATGTAAGTTGACCATCAGAGAAAGACAATCGTCCCCGTTATAATGGCACACATTGCGCCATTATGAATGCAGAGGGAAGGTGAACCGCTGAGGTCGTGAGGTGGTCTAGCATATGAGCGAGATGCGTTCTGCACAGATGGGCCATTCCTTTTAACAGACTTAGCATATGCCGAACTTAGGAAGAAATTTCCCTATTCGAGGTGCGTCTTGCAACACAGCCTCTGCTTGCTTCCACAGGATCGATCACAACGTTCTGATTGACTGTGGGTGATCAACCACTTTTCTTGTACACCTGCCGAGCTCTTTGGACCACTCCACCAGTGCTTTCGAGGATCTGAGGAGGGGTTACAGGATGGGTTACTGGTTCTTGCCTGCCCCTGAGGAAATCGCGTAGCTGCAAATGAGCAAGAGATACAGGCTGTGGCAGCAATGTACTTATTTATGAGGCTGGTGCCGCGAGACAGGCCTGAGCTCATGGAGTATCCCTGGAATGTGTACTAAGACTAACTTGCACTACAAAGGTAATACAGCTGGACTTGAAGAATCCTACTGGTCATCTCATTGTGGACGTGCCGCGGCTGTAGGTGCATCACTATAATGTAAAGCTGCTCTGCTGCTGCGTATAGGGCGGTATAATGGGGAAGTAGCATGTGGTGGCCTTCTGTCCTTGTCGAGCATTGTACTTTGTTCAACGTGTACGTTTCTTGGCTTCATCCGGTTCATGATGACATCTAGAGATGCAAAGATAAGTACTATGTGCGTGCAAAGACAAAAGCTACAGCTGAAGGCCACAAAAGCTACAGCGTAGAGCAGTTAAAGCCAGCAAACACTCCATTATATGCAGCGGAATAAGTTGCAGGAAGCTAGCTGACCACTACGTTTATTAACAATCAAATTTGATGAGTATGTGCAGGCATTGATGGTGTGTTCGGTTTAAATGCCTTCCTTTACGTCCTTCGCGTTATTATGTTGATTTGGGGTGATGCGAATTTCCCGTAAGTCCTCAGCCGTGTCATTGTCGAGTAGCGTCTATGCACTGTATACCGTGTGAAAGCGCCAAGCAATACACAACTGATCTTTTTCCCGAGGCTGGTTTCATTCATTGCGTTGGAGGGTCCATTGCAGCGGAAATATGGCTGCAGGTGCTTTGCAGTTTGGTTAAGTGGAAGCCAGTAACAGACAGACACACAGACACACAGACGCACTCGCACCTGCAAAGTGTTTGTACTGTGGGCAGCGCAGAATGCTAGTCCAAAGTGAAGTATGCTAGTCGTAGGTCCATACGATGCTGATTTCACCTCTGGTCTCAGCCTTTCCGGCGGCGTGCACGCTTACATAGAACGCAGTATTTGTGGAGGGAGAGTCCCCGCTGATAGGCATGTAACGAGTGCAAAAACGAACCTGCTGAGGGGTCAAAAATGCTCCAAAAGCCACATGCCTGATTATGCATGAGTCGGCTCAAATAAGAGCTTTTGCTGTCCACAGGTGCTCGCTTGTATTTCTTGCCTGCTCCGCTTTTAGCAGAAAGCCCACCTCACCATGTTAGAACATTTGAGGATTTATAATGAACGGCGACCCTTGGGATCTTCGACGTTTATACTAGCGATCTCTACCAAATGTCGTCACGTTTTGTCTCGCTCATTGCTAGCCACTCGACATAGTGTAGGGCCTTCTCATCTTCGTATGACTCTAGGATGTCCTAATATTGCCGGTCATGCAGTATCTTTACGGCAACACCTCCCCTTAACCTCGTTTGCCTCCAAAACCAGACCTGGGAACTTTTTTCGGCCTTACCATGAACTTGATGCTAAGCTAACACTTCTCCCGTCTCACTATAATTACCTCTTCCGTGCGTCTAAGGCATTCGATGAACCCTCTACTAGACAATACAGAGTTACTACCTGGAGAAGATTTGAAACACTTAAAAAGGTAGTGGAAAAATGGCATTTCGAAGCATTCTACGGAGTTATGCAACAAAGAGCAACACCGAAAGGGTATGCTCCAACAAGGCACCTACTCAGTGTACCAGAATGCAATCACATAAGTTCCGCTTATGCGCTAGAGGTGCCAATACTTTCAAGAGATGCTTGTCCTCGCCACTCACATCTGTTATGTGGTGCAGCTTCCAATGGAAGTTTTGGCATCTGATGCGGCAAGATCCCAGCTTCTCTTCGACTCCATCCACGACAAGCTAGCAGCAAGCGGCTGCTTGAGCAGGACTGCAGTTCTTCACTAAAAATGTCCGAGAAGAGCACAACGGTACCACTTATGCTCCTTCGGGAGTGGCAGCAAAAGTTGCGTCATTGTAATAGGAAGGCATCAGCAGCCGGCAGCTTCTCTGAATACCTCATAAGCACGAGAGCGAAACCGACTAGGGAGATGCGGGGAACAAAATATTTCTCTTTTTAGCTCAACTACCTCTGCAGCAGCTGGCCGTTGTCCCTCTCGATACATTTGCAGTGCAGCGTTCAACCGGCACACAAATCTATACCGCATGGTTTTTGCTTGTCTATATGATATTTTAACATTAGGAATTGACAAAAGCTTGTCCATGATTTGAGGCCACCAGTCCTCTCTCCCCACTGGAGAACCAACCACTGTGCCAATGCACCATAATGCGTCTGCTGTGAGAAATCGACGCATCATGGGTTCGTAGATTTCGGAGACAGGGAGGCTGTCCTTTACAAAGTTGCCCATGTACGACAAAGATTTAACCAGCTGTTCCGCCAGACCTATTAGTGACTGTTGATCCTCAGTTTGGAGTCGCTCTTTATTCAGCAGTTTGTGAATTGAAACCAATGTTTGGGGGAAGCTTGCTCGGTGGGTATACATGACAGCCCTTGCCAAACTGAAGGGGGTAAGCTGACCTGGAGGATCAGCCGCTGGCAAACGATATAATGGATGTTCTTCTGGGGACTTGGTTTCAGCAGTAAGCTTAGAACACGAGCAGCAGAGAAGGAAACAGCGCAAGGGGAAGCAATCGATAAAGGCACATGAACAATGTAAAAAGACACAGTCAACGACGAAGGCACACAACAGGCGACTGACAGCGAAACCGTGTCAACAAATGTGCGCAATTTGATATTTGGGCGAGATCATAATATACGACGCTAAGCTGCAGACTGGTGAAGCTGGAGTAGCACAGAAGCCAACGAAGTCAGCAGCAACGACAGCACACCCAAATATAGGAATACAATGATCCACTTCAATGATAAGTGTTTGCAACTATCCTCAAGTGTCAACTGTCCAAACACTCACGTGAGAAGGCCCGGATCCAGGCGGATGCACCTCGCTTGATGGCGCCTCGCTCGATGACGGGACCGATGCAGTTGAAGCCCGAAGTTCGTTGGGAGGCCAAGTGGGGAGACTAAGCGGAGGAACCTGAAGCGAAACAATACTTTTAAGCCACCGATAATTCGCCAGATTGAGGCTCCAATAGACAGAAAACTCATGAACGCAGGAGAAGGAACATTCCACTAAACAATACAGTTGCGGTTTGCGCCGCTGCACCAACCACCAGGCAAGTCAGGAGTCATAAACAAGAATTCATTTTGCAGCATGCAAAGGGTCTTTAGAAGAAAAGAAATCGCCAAAGCAGAGGCAGCGTACGACATATGTGGCGTTGACACGACTTATTTTTCAACTTCCGTGTGGTTTGTGACATGAGGGAAACCACTGAAGAAGCGATAACGTGCAATATACCTTGGATGAGGACGTACCTGCAATTGTTTCTTCATGAATGGTGGAATATGCCGTAGCACGAAAGGATTTTGCAGAGGTGCCGAGTCTTTGTCTATCTCCGTAGACCCTCCACTGGGATCCAGCAGAGGCGGCACACCGTGAGCATCCCCAAGAGGTAGCTGCGCACTACTGCGTTTGCTGCCATGAACCTGAGTACGCGGTTCGGCAAGTTTAATGTGGGCGTGGGCTAGCTGATCAGCCCCGTCGGCTGTCGTTTGACCGCCAAATTCCGGCGAGTCACGGTAATGGCCTACGCCGCTCCTTGGGAATGAACTCGAAGACGGTTCTGTGATGGCATCAAGCCACTGCTGCTCTAGGGTTCCTTCATCTGCACGCAACATATCTAGAAAGCTGTGATATGCCATTGGTTCAGCCCCATGCGATGCTGTTTCGGCTTCTGTGGTCAGTGTTGTCCTATTAGCTTCATCAGCTCCTTTCTGAGTGGTCGCAAGGCCTCCAGAGAATTGGTATCCAAGGGTAATCTGGTCTCCTTGCAGCGATGGTAAGCTGCTGTCTAGCTCTGCAGAAGGCCTCGCGTTCTCCTGCACATTCTGAGCATCCATAACACGGAGCCACGCATTAGCGATTGCGCTGCCATGGTCAAACGGACTAGGCAGATTGGGAAGATGCTTGTTGGTGTGGGCAAGCAGATCGGCCGCGTTGGCCATCCCCTGAACGGGGATTTTCTGTGGGTCATTGTACTGTTCTGCTCCAGTATATGGCGTCGATGATGGTTCTAGTATGTAGTCAAGGAACCACTGGTCAATGAGGCTTGGTGCTAGAAAACGTTCCTCGAGCTGACCGGAATCTGTCACACCCTCAGACCCAGTCGATCCCGTTTCAGCTTCTGTGCTGAGTGCCGGTCCACTACTGTTATGCGATCCTGGCTGACGGATCTGCAAGTCTCCAGATAAGGGGCACCCACTGGAAGACTGCTCGCCTTGCAGAGATGTCGAGCTGGCGCATAGTTCTGTAGAGCTCCCAGAAGGCTTCGCGTATCCCTCCACACCCTGAGCTCCCGAGGCATGAGACGAAGAAGTTGCCGGGAAGTGAAAATCATCATGCAAGCCTCCGGCCAAAGTCTCCATCTGCTTATCAAGTAAAGGCCTTTTTGTCATCGGGTCGTCACCGTGGGTAGGCGGGCTAGGCTTCCTTTTCCTAGGGTTAACATTTTGCTTAGGTTCTGAGATCTGATGGGGTTCCTGAGAACCCAAAGGTGTATTAGGACCTTCTTCTTCAACTGCACCTAGCAGCTTCAAAATGTGCTTGCACGTCTCATCCTCATCGCCGCTAGCGAGGCGACGAACTACCGCAGTCCTGGACTGGCGAAGGCCCCTTGAAGAGAGGCAAAAATATGAAAAAAGGAAGATAACCAAAACCAGTGAAAAAGCAGTGCTATGAATAATTGCCATTCGATTTCTACTCCGACACGCGGGAGGAAACCGGAGGGTGTTTTCATTGCCAGTTTGGGCACGGAAGGGATCTGCCCACCGCGCATCGCCATCCCGCTGAGAGACATGAACGTTGGGAGTCCATTGTGATATTTCCATTTCACAGTGTACAAAATCATATAACTAAATTTTGACTGAGGAGAACCTGAAAGCACGTCTGCACGACGCGGTCGGCGCACGCATACTCCCGTGACAGATCCTTGATGGGACCCGATGGGAAAAGACAAAACTGCAACTTTCCAGTTGCCCTAAGACAAACTCACATACGCAGTACACCAAAATTGTTCACCCGATAGTTAATCCTCAGCAGTTCCACAGCAGTGCAGCTTTGCAGGCGAGCAGCGCCTCAAGAACCCCCCACGTCAATGTGCAGACAAGCAGCCCAGGCGGGCTCCTCTGCACATTGAGGTGGGGGGTTATTGAGGCGCTGCTCGCCTTCGCGTAACTGTTCTGTTGAATCCCCTTCATCAAGTATCGATAAAATGCGCACACTCAGTGATCGTGTAATTCCGTTTCCGCAAGCAAAACATCTTTCAGGTTATATACACAATTGATTTAAGTGTGCCCTTTCTCGACTGCAGGTTCATCCATGTGCTCCGCTGCTCCCAACCAACTCTCGTGTGAAGGGATTCACATCGTCGTTACCTCACTTTTCCAGTATGTTCCTTTGCTTAGTTATCCAAGGTGTGCACTTTAGTGCTGTCTTAGTGACACTGTTTGTTCAATTCTACTTGAACACACCACCTGCAGATTGCCACTTTGCTACGAAGTTAGAACAATCGAGGTAGGGTGGAGTGCTCCGGGCTTGTGATGGAGCACTTAAGTTCGGAGAGGTGGGTAGGCCTCCAATTTTTTGGTTCAATATTCTCTATTTTCCCAAAGTGCCTGTATTTGGTCTCTGGCTCAGCAGTAGCACCGCTCTCTTATCCTCAGATTTCCCAAAGAGAGATTACCGGCAAACTGGGAACCGATAGGCGAGGACACTGTGAACGCTGCCATAGCTGGTGTGTGGCCGACAATGTCAGATATTTGTGGCTCCATCTACAGGTGGGGTGCACGGTAATCAAGTTCAAAATGGATCTCTCCAGCCTTCTCCCCGTTTAGGAAGTTAAGGAACATCTGACGTGCAGTCCTTGAACAAGTGCGACATAAAGACGCTACCATATGTAGCAGAAGCTCCTGCAGGAGGTTCTTTGCATTGTCCCGGACGGAATGGGGTAACAAAATAACTGAGAAGAGAAACCAGAAGTTGAAATGTAAGTCTGAGGTGAAGAAGGTACCCACAGGGATCTTGTGGGGCTCGAATTTGGCGCAAAAGCTCTCTATCGAAGTACTGCTTTACAAACACGCAATATGCAGTTGAATACGGCGCAGTCTAATCGCGCCTTCAACAAAGCCTACAACGTACACATTGCCGATACGGAATTCGTTCCCCACAAGAGCAGTCCTAGGCATGAACCAACAAATCTACCACACGCTTCTAGGAATTGCCCGTTCCACGGGTTCACCCAGAGCGATAAACCCCCCCCCAAAACAAAAAAAAAAAAAAAAAATGGAC